GAAAGAACCAGGTCTATCTCTTCCGCTCTGCTTGTGCTTTTCCCCTGTAGGCCTCACTCCTTCTCTCGTTGGATCTTCACAGTCACCTATGAGACCCCAGGGTAAGAATCGTAAGCCCATTTTACAGAGGGAAGAACTGTCCAGCAGAGGGAAGCAGCAGCTTGAACAAGGGGGCAGCAACTGGCAGAGCTGGGCCTTGAGTCCTTCCCCAGTGCTTGTCTTCTACCCCATTGGGTTACACAGGATCCAGCTGTTCCCCTCTAATGGGCAGAAGGATGCAGGTGGTTTAGCTGGGGTTTTTTTGTTTTGTTTTTTTGGCTGTATAATTGACGCTTGTAAATATCTCCGGAGACGGGTGAGGCCAGTAAAATATTAAACAAATGAGCATTCTCAGAATCTGTAGGCCATTTCCTGGAGTTAAGACCAAGTGGGCATGAGGCCAGAGGCTTCATCTGTTGCAGAGAAGCCCAAAGCCACCCTCGGGGACAGGTAAGCTCTTCTGCATCAGCCTCTGGCCTCCTCTCCAGATCTGTGACACCCGAATGATGTTAAGGCTAGAGCACCGTCTCCCGGGGTGTCACAGCGAGGCACAGGGTGTCACAGGAGCTGGAAGGCAGCTGTAGAAAGGGGGCCCAGCCCCAGCCTGGAGCGCAGAAGAGGGCCTGGGAACTGCGACTGCTGTGCTGTACTGTCCCCTCCAGCTCCTGCTTCCAGTGTCTCCAGAGCTGCTTCCCTGGGCTGTGCCAAAAGCACCAGGGACACACACTGCTAGACACCTCCTTCCCCTCGGCTTCTCAGCCTGCCTTGTTCGTGGTAGCTTGGCTTTTTCTCCCCACCTGCATGAACCTTGCTTCTCTTCAGAGTTAGAAATGGGAGTGTCCTCCCGCAGTCTCTCCTGCTCTGAACCCCAATCCAGAGCAAGTTCCTGGCCTTTTGTACCTCCTGAGTCCCTCCTGGGACCTCTATCCCAAGTGCAGGGTCTCAGCGCCTGATGCCCCTCAGGGTCCTGCACATGTCTGTCAAAGGGTCTCTCTGCATCAAGTCTCACCCAGTGGGAGCCCCCAGTCCATTCTAGGAGGACCCCTAAACTGCCTTCAGCCTCCTCCCTCCAAAGAGGAGCCCTTAAGGACCATCCTGCCTCAGAAAACTCTTGGCTTATCTGCTAATGCTTAGTTTCTTCTGCTATTGATAGTCCTGTGGTCACAGTAGCCCTCTGATTTCATTTTAGTAAATAGGACATTCATCCAATATGAAAACCCAAAATCCGAACTTCATTCTGAGTTCAACCTTCTCCCCTCCCTTGGTGAGGGCCTGGTGTGGAAAGGAAGGGGCCAGGCAGTATCTTGACCCTGGGGAACTGTTCTGTACTTTTTGTCCCATTGTCACAGGAGTACGGTTACCCTGCTTCACTTCTGATGCCAAGGTCACTTCAAGGTCACTTCAAGCAGCCTCTTAAAGTCCTTTTTTTTTTTTTTTTTTTTTTTTTTTTTGT